CCACGCGCTGCTCGGCCGCGACGCCGCCGCCGCGCCCCCGCAGGACCTGCTGGACAGACTCTCCTCTCTAGACAACCTCAGAGCCTCCGTGGGCCAGGTGGAGTCGGACTTGAAAATGCTCAGGACTGCCGTGGACAGTTTGGTCGCATACTCAGTGAAGATCGAGACCAATGAGAACAACTTGGAGTCGGCCAAGGGTTTGCTAGAGGACCTGAGGAATGACTTGGATAGGTTGTTCGTGAAAGTGGAAAAGATTCACGAGAAGGTCTAAATGGATTGTGTGTGCAGGGCGCGGACGGCCCCGCCAGTTTCTCTTGACCAAAAACGTGTTGTCCGACCCCGCGCCTCTCCCCCCGCGGTGCGGCCCCTCCCGAGGAGCCGGCCCTGCTCCACCACCCGGACCACCAGGGCCATTTGTGTTTCAATGCCCGGTTAATTTATTTACAGTTGTTACCACACGCCGTGGGTTGCTCAAGTTCTCTGCTTCTGCTTTGGGTGGGTTTCCTGGAGACCTGGCCCCTGTGAATCAGAGATGCCTTCTAGAAGGGATCTCTGTCTGGTGTCAGGGAAGAACTATAGTGGCTGCAAGCGAGGATTAGCAGAAGCAGATTAACCTCAAAAACCCCTGGCTGGCTGGCAGATTTCAAGTTAAAAAAAAGTGGTGGGGAGGAGGCACTTTTCTTTCTAATTGTCTTTAAGGAAAATTCATTTTACTTTTTTTTTTTTTTACTACTTCTGGCTGAAGTTTTCATGAGATGTCACTCACTTCTTGTCTTCCACTTTAAACTGGTTACACCTCATAAATGTCAGCTCTGAATCGGGAGGGGGACAGGCCCCTCCGTTTTTAGTTGAAAAGAATCAGCTGCTTGAGGGTCACCTGTGGTGTGGGTGTCTTTTCCATTCCTGAATCCTCTCGTGATCTCAAAGGTAACTATGCAAAGAATCCAGGCGGTTCTGAATGTGAAGGCCCAACACCCCACAGTTCCCTGTGGCTGCCCTGTGTCACCTCTCGGTAAGGACCCCAAATAATGCATTTAGAATAAGGGTTTAGACTCCCTGAAAGGGGAGTCCTTGGATTCTTTCAGGAAATGTATTACGAGAGCTGCTCATAAAGGCTTGGGCCACCTCCCTGGGGAATGGAGGCTGCGTCTTTATGTTGCCATGATGTCCATGATGGGGTTTGCTGTCACAGCAGGCCCCATCTGTCAGTGAGGAACGTGTGCATTTTCTGTAGCTGTTTGCTGTTTCCCTTTCCCTTTGAGCTGTACTGTTCTTTAATGGCTGTCTTGCCCTTTAAAAAAAGAAAAAAAAGAGAAAAAGTAAAAAATGAAAAGAAAAAGGAAAAAAAAGGTTTGTTTAGTTTACTGTGAAATGAACTGTATGGCTTATTTACAGTATTTTTAATTCTTAATAAACACTTGAGCTTTGTTATGACTTTTCCAGAGTGGTTGCTTTCTGAGAATTTAGTAAGTTTTAACGATATACTTTATTAATGTGCAGTATACAGGATTAGAAAGATGGGTAAGTTTTCAATTTTAAGACACTTTTTCTTCAATTCTGAAACCAAGATGGCCTCCCTCTTAGGCCTGGGGCTATACCTTTGATTGACAATTAGCAGGCCCATTTATAGGTCATTGCCTGACTCCAGCTCTTAGCTACAGCAGAGGGTCTCAACCCTGGCTACCTATTAGAATCTCTTAGGAGCTTTTAAAAATTGCTGGGGCGCATCCCCATGGATTTGGTTTCAGTGAGTGTAAAGAGGGCTGGCACTAGCATTGCAAAGGCTCCCTAGCTGATTCTAATGTGCAGCCAAGTTTGATAACCACTATCTTGGGCCATTCGGTGGCCGTTGACCTCTATGTAAACCTGGGCATATTTCCTTTACTTTCCAGGTTGCCATTCACATGCCACTTAATAAGGGACACTGTTTATTGAATTGAGTACCTGTGTGCCAGGCATGATGCTTATTAGTACTTCATAGGCTTCTATTTAGTCCTCCTAATATTCCTCAGAGATCAGCAGTCTCATTCCCCTCTTTACAGAGGGGCACCAAGCTGAGAGGCGTCCTGTACAATCATTAGCTAGGAAGTGGCAGGGCTGAGGTTTGAACCCAGGTCCTGCTCTTAACTGTGACATCTTCCGCCTTCCACCAGCACAAGTGCAGGGCCACATTGATTTGTGTGGCACCCCTGTCCCTTGTTGCAGAGCCAGAGGCTGCAGGGGCTCTTTTCTCTCTCACCTGGGAAGTTGGGGAAGGCCAAGACCTGAGTTGCATATGCAGCTTCATGCCTCATTTCTGGCTGGAAGGCCCCTCATCTGAAGTTCTCTGTCAGTCATTCTGCGTCCTTGAGGCAGCATCTCTAAGGCTTCACAGCTGTTTTTCCCAAAGCAGTTTGCAAATCAGGATGGGCCCTTTATAAGTATTATAAATTGTATTTTTATTTTAAAGTCAAAGAGTTGATATGTATGTTTTAATAACTTGTTTTTCCCACTTTTGGGGAGGGAACTGAGCAGCACAAACTCCCGTATGTGGAGCAAATTAAGTTCTCCTGGTTCCTTCTTAGGTCAGTTGGTTGCATCAGGCATATTCTTACTCTTCCTTTTACCATCATTTCTGCAGTCTTTGATCTCAGACTATGGAGTGGCTTAACATTTAACATTAATAGTTGGAAATACCTGCATGGGTCAGAGAAGTAATTAGATATAAATTCAAGTGGTGAAAAGAAAAAGAATGAATTATGGTAGCTCTTATCCCAAATAACAATCACATTTCAGTCTGGTTTATGTGTCTGCTCACTCACTCATTTCCACACACATTTATTGAGCCCATAGCCAGGCATTTTGCTAAGTATCAATGAATTCAAGATGCACTTGACAGGATCCTTGTCCTCCAAGGGCCTGTAACCAAGTAGGGGTGACAACCATATAAGCTGGTAGATGTTATAAATTATTGCAGGTGTTACAACCAGGTGTAATAGGGCACAGAGGAGGGAGTGGCCAGTTCTGTTAGGATTGGGCTCGGCTGGTTAGAACAGGTTTACAAAGGCCTGTGGGAAGTCTCTTGGAATGTGTCCATGAGTGATGGGAGCCCTCAGGAAATGTGAGGTTGCCCTGCTCTTTGAACAGAGGCTAGGCATGAGTTATTGAAGATATTGACTAAATATCAGTATGGATTATAGGTTGCAGTGAAATTCCCCAGGCAAGACTGTCAGCACAGTGGTAAGGAGACTGCTCCACCACTTCCAATCTTACGTAGAACAGAGATGATGGGGAGGGTGGTGATGAAGATTGTGATGATACCTCACAGAATGGTTGTGAAGGTTGAATGAGGCCATGGGTGGAGAGGGTTTAGCTTAACACAGCATCTGGCATGTACTAAGAGCCCCAGGGCTCATTCATATGCAGTCATGCCAGAGAATAAAAGACTGAACTACTTCTGTGCTGCTTGGTAAATAGGTGCAGCCCTGAGCCCCTGAGTGCCCTCCCTCAGGACCACACACCTCCTTACAGTCCAGCAACTAACGGGCTAAAACCCTGGTGTAGTAGGGCCTCTAGGACCTTGCTCCAGCCTCGTGGCCAGCATTAGATCTGATGCGTGGGCACCCACGCTTTACCATGGTTAAATATTTTAAAATCACCCTATGTCTTCCTCAAAGCATGATTCTGAGCTACTGATCTGTTTTTCCAGTAACATCTGGACATGCTGATCCCTGGCCCTCAACACTTTAGAGGGTTGGATAAACGAAGTCATTTCCCCCTGGGGTAAGTGGAACCACTGCTCCCTCAATGCTTGAGCCAGAAGCTCAGGAGTCACCCCCGTCTCCCCACCTCTCGCCTTTCCTGTCTCTCCACATCCACTCAGGTTGAAGCCCTGACACAGTCTCTCGTATCCCACTTCTCCCAGCCTCCTCTCCACCCCATCGCAGATGGGGCCGGAATTCCAGCAGCAGCAGCCCCTCACTGCTCCCCCTACCTGTTAACACAGAAATGTGGTTTGTGCACTCAATACTCATTCAACAATATTTGCGGAAAATGTCCCCTCCGGAAGGCTGACTGCTGGCCTCTCAGGGCCATCCATGGGCAGCTGGGGAAGGGGCAGTGAAGGGACTTGAGCCCTGCACCCTGGACCCACTTCCCACCTCACTCTGTGGCAGCCTGGATGGCAGAAGATGAAAATTTTATTTTATTTAGTGAAACATTCATTTGTAAGGAAAAAAAATCAATACTCAGAAAGCACAGCTCTTAGTCAGACATGGAGGAGATGACCAAAACAAGATAGATATGGTTCCTGCCTTCTTGATGCTCATGGTCCAGCTGGGAGGAGACTGGCAGTAGATGCAGAAATTGTAGGCCGTGTCTCCTGTTTTTTGTACTGAAGTATAGTTGACCTATAGTATTACATTAGTTTCAGGTGTACAGCCTCGTGATTCAGTAATTTTGTAGATTTTTGTACTCTATCTAAGGTTACTATAAAATAATGGCTGTATTTCCCTGTGCTGTACAATAAATTCTTGTTGCTTATCTATTTTTTAACATTTTTTATTGATTTATAATCATTTTACAGTGTTGTGTCAAATTCCAGTGTAGAGCACAATTTTTCAGTTATACATGAACATATATATATATTCACTGTCACATTCTTTTTCTCTGTGAGCTACCATAAGATCTTGTGTGTATACAGTATAATCTTGTGCTATACAGTATAATCTTGTTTATCTTTTCTACAGTTTTGAAATCCCGTCTATATCTTCCCACCCCCCGCCCCCTGCTTATCTATTTTATATGCAGTACTTTGTACTTCTTAATCGTATACCCCTTACTTGCCCCTCCCTTTTTCCCTCCCCTCTCTGGTAACCATTAGTTTGTTTTCTGTATCTGTGAGTCTGTTTCTGTTTTTGCTATATGCATTCCTTTGTTTTATTTTTTAGATTCCACATGTAAGTGGATAGCATGTAGTATTTGTCTTTCTCCATCTGACTTATTCACTAAGCATAATACTCTCTAGGTCCACCCAGGTTGTTGCAACTGGCAGAATTTCATTCTTTCTATAGCTAATAGTCCATTGTAATATATATATATGCCACAACTTCTTTTTTCCATTCATCTGTGATGGACACTTGGGTTGCTTCCATATCTTGGTTATGATACATAATTCAGTTATGAACATTGGGATGTATATATCTTTTTGAATTAATGTTTTAACAAATTGTTTCCTTGTATGAAAACACCAGACGCAGCAGCAATATCAGAGACAGCAGTGCTGGTGCTTCTCAATTCCAGTGTACCTGGGACGAGATCCTACTTTGCCACTTCACTGGCTAATATCAGTTTATCTTCCTCTTTTAAGCCTGTAATATCTCCTCTTATAATTTAAACCAGCAAGATGTGATTTCTTATGATTTCTTTTCTTCACTTAAAAACACCTAGTACTTTTTGGGTTACTTTTTTTTTTATTGAAGTATAACTTCCATGCTTTAAGGCATATGCGTCTGAAGTACACAGCCGAATGAATATCTTCACGTAACTCACCACATACTAACCACTAGATCAAGATATACAACATTTCCAGCACCCCAGAGGCTTCCTATACGCCATAGTCAATAACCCCCTAAGGTAACCACTCTTCTGACTGCCATTGCCACAGATTACTTTTGCCTGTCTTTGAATTTTGTATAGATTGGATCATACCATGTAAGACCTGGTGTTCCTTAAAAAAAAAAACCAACAGCTTTATTGAGATATAATCCCCATACCATGAAATCCACTCTATTAAAACGTACAATTGTTTGCAGTATATTTACAGAAAGCTGGACACATTCCTATCTTGAAAAATCTTGCCCCTGTCACATAAAAATATGTGACACATAGTAGGTGTTCAGCGCTTGTTTGTGTGCATATGGATTTCGAACTGGACAGCGCATTTTGGGGCCTCCATCCTGCCGGTCAGTGACTCTGAGAGGAAAAAGGAGGGTCAGGCATGGTGGAAGCATTCTTCCTCTTGCCCCTGTGGCTGGCTACCCCAGGGGGTGAGGTAAAAACCACAGAGGTAGGGGGTTCAACTGCCCTTCCCCCTCCTCAGGCTGTTTGGTCAAGGGATGGATTCCACAAACAGCTATTTACTATGAATTGGCCACTGAGTTGCATTCACTCTGGGAGATGAGATGGAAGACTGAGGTCTCCTTTCCTTGGGAGATTCCCAGCTAAAGAGGGAATACAGAGAGGTAAATGGCACATAATCACATGCAGTCTGACATGTGCATCAGTAAAGGGGTGCATATAGGAGGGACTGACAAGGTCCTGGAGCTCTGTTTTTGCCTGGCCACCATCCAGTCCTTTCTTGTTTGGCAAAAACTCCTCCATTTTTCTTCAGAGAATCACCCCTTCCTCACTCTCAGTCCATTGGGCATTGATGAGACTGACTGGGATAAGCATTT